ATATAAAATGTGTGCTTTTAAGTATTTAAAATATTGTCAATTTTACAATTAGTTTTTAAATATAGTTTTAGCAGTCAAGTTGTATTTTTAAAATTGATAAAAAGTTAAAAGTAAATTTTTTTAGATTATGTTAATTTTTTCAAAAAAACAATTCAAATCAAACTGCTAGTGAAAAACTTGATCGAATATTTTCAAAAAAGTGTTTTAGTTTTCATTTAAAAAATGTGTGCTTTTAAGTTGATTCTTCATCTCTAAAGTAGTAGGCGTATACAAAGTTATAGGATTTCCTCATTCAGTAGAGAGAGAAAGAGGGTCGCCAGAACAAGGCGGAACAAGCTACCATTGGAACTGATGCGTGCGCAATGGAACCAACTATCATAGAGACACAAAATGGGAGGAGACTGAATGGTAGGACTGATTCTAGTTCCAATTGGAATCATGATGACTGAAGTGCTTTCATTTGTGCAAATGACGTGAAACAGAAAACATGTTCAATTTCAACTTTGTGTCCGCCAATATAAAACTTTAAAACGTTATAATAATTTCTCTCAACTAACTAACAATTCGTCAGTAAAAAGTAAGTTTTTTTAAATTTTTTGATAAACATTGTTAGTGCATTGTTCCGAACCACTATTTTAAATTAAAATTATTTGTTGAAAGAGTAAAAAGAAATCAAAATTTTATTTAATCATTTAAAAAACAATCATTTTAAAAAAGTCAACAGTTTAGAGCTAGTTTTCCTAAAACCACAAGAAACTATTTCTTAAATAATCTCATAAGTTTTTCAAATATTTATTTAGAGCTAACATTTAACCAGTCACTTGAGTGTTCACTTCTGCTTGGACAATTTCAGCATTATGCTGAGCAAGTGAAGCAAATTTGATAATGTTACCACAGCACAAACTCCACTTGCCGGTGCTGTTTCATGCCTTACACACTGCACAAACACTCATCCTTTTTGAATTTAAACAAACAAGGTCGTTCATGCACACTTCATTTTACTTTAAACTTGATGAGGCCCAAATGAGGCTCATTTGTTTCAAATAAAAGCGTAACAGTGCACGGTCAAGTTTAGCAGCCGCGACCGATTAATTTGCAAGTGTCACGCGGGAAATCGAATAGAGTAGGTGAGAGAGAGAGAGAGAGAGAGAGAGAGAGAGAGAGAGAGAGAGAGANGAGAGAGAGAGAGAGAGAGAGAGAGAGAGAGAAAGAGACAAAGTTTGTGCCACAAAGGTCCTTTCGGGCCCAATGTGTTGCTCTCATCTATTGTCATTGAAATTTGACCTGTTTCCAGTGTACCTCCCGCTCTGTTCCCTCTCCTCTGGGGCTTAGTGCATTCACGCACGTCCACCATTGTCCTCGGTGTGCACTTTGTTTCGCTTTTCCCGGTTAATCCCCAGCACGCTAATTCTCTCAACTGCCTGTATTTGCTGTTGCTGCCACAACTGTCTCTCCTTCTTTTCTCTAGAAGCCGAAAGTGACATAAATTCAATTAGCTGCATATAAATGCAAAAGGGGGCCATCAGATCTGCAGATGTCCTCACTGCCTCCCAATTGATAGGAGCCCTTAAACTTTCGATATGTTTGTCAACCCAAAACTTCTCAGTCAGTCAGCTAATTCCTGCCGGTTCGTTTGTGTGTATTTATTGTCTTCTGCTGTCTACCACTGCCGGTGGCTAATCCAATTACAGGTCAAAGTAGGTTTGAGCGATGAGCAGCGCAGCGACCAGATGGCCGCACAAACAGGACAGGACGATAATGCTAATCAAAAGGGTCAGAGTAGAGCAAACTGAGGGGAAGAGGAGGAAGCGGGGCCCAGTAATGAGATCATCAGTGTGGGCACTCTGTCTGCATGCACGCCTCATTTGAATATGAATTGAAGTGCACTGTTTTTATTATTGAAAAATGTGTAAAGCTACACTTTTACTTTTCAAAAGTATAATTTTTCTTCTTATTTAATACTTGCAGGTTTTTCTTAAACTACCAGCAGTAGCCATGAATAACTACTCGTCAACGCAGCTGTACTCTCACTTTCCAGTAGCTTCACACACTAGTCATTACTTTGCACACTACAACACAAAGTCTACAGCAACTTCACAGCAGTCATCATTCAAGCCGCTCTCTTCATCATCTTCCACAAACTTTCTTTTAGGCACAATCAAACCAGAGTTTGGCAATTTTCTAACACCTTCATCGTCTTCCTCTCCTTCTTTCTCTTCTGGTTCAAACATTAGCTCTAGTTCTCCTGGATCATCAGCTAGCTATGCGTTTGTTGATCCAAAACCGTGTATTGAAGTATCAAAAACTTCTTCAGGTCAAAAATTGACATTTCACACTTCTTCAGCACCCTCTGTATTAAGTTCTCAGACAGCAAACAAACAACCAAAGAAGAAACAAGGCAAAGGTAGAAAGTCGGCAGTAAACTGCATCACCGGAGAGTATGATCCTGAGTTTGCACGATTGAGCCGCGAAGAAAGAAGACGCCGGCGACGAGCCACAGCCAAGTATCGCCTGGCACACGCAACCAGAGAGCGAATTCGAGTGGAGGCATTCAATATGGCATTTGCACAACTTCGTCACTTGCTGCCTACACTACCGCCTGATAAAAAGTTGTCGAAAATTGAAATTCTTAAACTGGCCATCTGCTATATTGGATATCTGAACCATGTGCTTGATGTGTGACATTCTTAAAAAAACTTTTTTTAGTGATAACTCCAATTAAAACTGATTTTAACCAAAATGTAACTTATCTGCTCTAGTCAAATTTTTGTAAACTAAAAATATAAAGTTGTGAAACATGTTTATTAGTTTAACAAACAAAATAAACTGATGTACAATATAACCAACCGTTTTTAAGATTTTTAAGATTTAGTGGGATTGTTTTTACTAAAAAAATTCATCTAATTATAAATCAAAAAATAACTTTATCTCTTCCCATTTGTCTTGTTTCCTTTTGTTCCGCAAAAGTGCCGGATTAAATCAGTGAGCTTTTAGATAGCATCAATTTGGGCTTTTTGTCTTTCCGTGCATTTCCGAGCAGAGCTTAAATCCAATGATCCATAACGATCACAAACCGTCAGAATCATTCTGTTCGACTAAGTGACAATTCCCAAATGCAATTTGCTCCAGACGCAAACTTTCCTGTTCCAGGCATACAAAAAAGAAGTGAGAAGAAAAATTGAGGAACTCAAACTTATTTGAAAAAACCCTCTGTTGCCATTTATTTTGAAATTTTNAAATGCAATTTGCTCCAGACGCAAACTTTCCTGTTCCAGGCATACAAAAAAAGAAGTGAGAAGAAAAATTGAGGAACTCAAACTTATTTGAAAAAACCCTCTGTTGCCATTTATTTTGAAATTTTTCTCAATTTGTAAATTTCTAAATAGTACTATTACTCGAAAATAAAAAATGTCAAAATTGGCAATTTAAATCTCGTTTTTGTTGATATAAAAAACTGAAAATTGATTTTCAAATACCCTTAAAATCTAAAAAATATATAATTCGTATTATCATGTAAACCTGTCTTAAAATTAGAAAAAAATATAAAACTTTTTTAGAAGCCTTTGAGAGCTTTCTAGTGTCGTTCACGTGTCGTGTCGCGTGTCTAATCGGTTTTAATTTAAATTTAATTTTTTTCTTATCGATGTGCATGAAGATGAAACAAAATTTTTACAATGTTCAAATATTCAATAACTTTGTTTTAAATAACTTAAATTTAAGTTTACCAATTGTTTTCCTTCTATCCCTAAAATTTGAGTCTAATTTTTTGACAAAAGCTTTTCTCCTTTTCAATTAGTCGACTAAATTGAGCAACGCAAATTGAAAGTGTAAATATTTACTGACTGCGACTTAGTCTTTTCTTTTTCTGTCGATCGATTCTAGCTAAATTATACTGGTTTTTTCTTTATAGGCACAAAACCACTATTTCTGAATCCTCTTCATTTATTCAATAAAAAAATTGGCCGATTTCAGAATCGATCCAAATTAGATTAAAGTGAAAGTTGCATCCAAAAAAATCAGTCAAAACCAAAATGAATAAAACAAACAGGAAAACGGAAAGTTTAGCGGTTGAAATAACAAACAATAAAAGACAAAGTTTAAAACTTTTTAAAAATTAATTTAATTACCTTTTTTAAATTTATTTTGTATTTATTTTTCTATAAAACATTTTTATTTTAGTTTTAACTTATTTACAATGAAAATGAAAACTGACATTAGACTCAAAATAGTTTTTTAAAAATGACAAAAACTTTAATATTTTTCAACAAATGATATTTTTTTATTGCTACTAGGTTGACTGATAATAACCGGTGGTGATTTTGTTCCCTTTTGTAAGCTTTCAAATCGATCAAGTATGACTTTTGTATCTCTATCGGCGGCAATGTCTGGTTGTTTGGTTTGTGGACAGCATCCGTAGCCACATCTACAAAAGGTACTCAACCTGTTGTTGCTGTTATTGACATACTGCAGGCCACAGCAGTACTCTTGAAGTTTTAATTTGTTCATACAGCAGCGATGGCGAAGTTTAATGCATGGTCTAAAATAAAGTGATTGAAGGCACCCGTTGTTGATCAGACAGTAGAGAATCCAAAAGAGAAAGAGCATTGCAAGAATGGGCAGGCAAATGGCAAAGTAAAGACTAGGGCCAGATAGCATCTTCCTTTTGAAGAAGACAAGAAAACAGTGGAAATTTTTAGACGGCTTGTACACTTTAGCTATTTCTGACAATGTCATCAGAGGGTGAGTAATTCTTCGCTATATTTTTTGCCGATCTATGCTGCTGCACTAAAACTGTGTTGCATTGTATTGCGTATTCAATGGTGCAGTGCATGACAAAGCGAGAAATAAAGAGTATCGCTCTTATGCAAAAATGAGGGTTTTATTGTTTTGCTTACAAACAGCAGTAAGCATCATTAATAACTTGTATTTAAATTTAAAATGAGCAACGTTATGTTATAATAAATTGTTGTCAAATAAGTTTTTGAGCGAAACAAACAAAATTATCCTCGCCTAACAATATTTCGAATCCAGTTGCGGTAGTGATACACGTCAGTGTAGACATTTGGTAGTTTGTTGGAGTAGCAAGTTGGAGCACCCACTGAGACAATGCCAATTTGCAAATACGAACTGTTTCCTGAGTTTATAGAGTCAAGCGTCAGAGGGCTTCCAGAATCACCCTACAAAATAATAATGTACATATTATAAATGATTCAAAATTGCACAATGCTTACATGACAAGCACTGGAGTCTTCATCAGCTGCGCAAATCATTCCCAAACTGAGTCGAAAAGCACCGGACCATCTTTGAGCGCATTCATCAAAATCTACAATTTTCAGTCCTGCTTGAAGCAGATGCTCTGAAACTGTCTGGTTTCGTGCCGTACGACCCCATCCTAAAAATTAGTGATTGTTATTGAAGTCAACTTTGTTAAACCGCCATTGCAGCTTGCTGACTCCATTACCTGAAACAGTCACTACCTCTCCCTTTTTGAGCAATGCTTGAAAACGATTTATCAGCGCAAATGCAATGTTTGGAGTGCTGGGGGCAACGGGAACCGAAAGCCGAAGAACGGCAATGTCATCTCTAACTCCGTTTGCAGTGTAACCGGGGTGAGCGTGAACTTGATCAACTGAAGCATTAGGACCAGTGCCGTACTGCAGTGTGCCATAGTGAACTTGAAACTGGCTGGCTGGTGATTCGTGAACACAGTGAGCTGCAGTCAGAACGTAACGAGGACCGATTAAAGAACCACCGCAGGTAAAACGACCTAGGTTTAAAAAGTGAAAATTAAATTGAAATTTTTGATAGAGATTTGCATTCTTCATTTGAACTTTTACCTCTGCGTATAAGAGAAACTTGAAAAGGACGTTCTCCTTCTTGAACTCGAATGCCGTTGACAATGCGAGAACTCGGATTCGAAAACTTGTGATTCAAGCTTTCGATAAAGTTTTCTTTTCCTTTTGAGTTTTGGTCTGAAATTTTAAACAAAAAATGGTGTTAAAATTTAAGATTTTATGATAATGCATTTACCATCATAAAGCGGTTTTCCGAGAATTGTGGTGAACCCCGCAAGCAAAGCTACTGACAAAACCATCAGTTTGCTGATTGTGAGCTTCATTTTAACTTGCTTTTTTAAAAATAATGTATAAAAATTGAATTTAGCTCTTCAGAGAGACCGCTGATTGGATTTGAATGGAAACGTAATTACCAACTAAGCTTATATAGCCCGAAAACCGCAAGTTAGACTAAGTGAGGCTAAAGCCAATTAGGAAAAAGCAGTGAGATTTTTGCAGATTTGAATAGAATTCAGTAAGGCTTCATTAGTGAGATGTTTTTCTGATAGGGAAACAAGCCTCAATTGCTACATACACTCTCTACTGATAGATATCTCTACCCTAATTTGGGTCTTTCCGCTTTATTAGCTACCGGGGCACTATTTTGGACATTACCAGTGAAACTCTAATTACAATCACTTTCAGATGCTTTACAAGTGTGCTAGGGTGACCCTGTAGACACAATGTTGTGGGGATATATTGTGCAGGTGTTTTTCCATTAAGCAAGGCTCTTTTACCAGTAAATCAACTGTCAATAATAAGTTTGACAATTTTTTGTTTTTCTAATTAATAATTTTACAACAAAATGTAAAAAATATGCATTTGAATATACTTTTTTGTTTGAAAACATAATGTCTTTTACATTTTGCAAATAT